TGGATGATTATAATAGAAGAACATAAGACAAAATTTTGAAGATGTCCCTCCCAATCTTTTGGCATTTTTTGTTATACTTGACTTGCAGGTAGGACTGTTTTTCTATGATATTTTCTGGGTTTTCTTTACCCCAGTTATGGTCAGTGTTGCCAAATCCTTTGATGCTCCGATAAAGGTTAGTAAAAACGTCTCAAACAGTACATAAAACAATATTAGCTCGATTTGTTTTTAGTAATTTTGAAAGTAATATCAATTGTTGTAATTTCTTTTCAGCTTTTATTCCCTACGGGCGATGCTCTAAGACCCTACTCTATGCTCGGACTTGGTGATATTGTTATTCCGGGTATGTCCTCTTAAGACAAATGCATGCTGGACTCAGTATTCTTGAATCATGTTTTTGGACATCATATGAATATGAGACATTAGTGTTTGTTTTTCTTTAGGTATTTTTGTTGCACTCGCTCTGAGATTTGATGTGTCAAGACGCAGCAAACCACAGTACTTCACAAGTGCGTTTGTGGGATACGTTGCTGGAGTTGTCCTCACTATTGTAGTCATGAACTGGTTTCAAGCCGCACAGGTCAGTTTTTGTGTGTGTCTTGATTGTTGCCATCTCATTATTGCTACCTAGTATTTGCTATGTTTTGGAGGATTTTATCTGATGGGTTTTGGTTTGTGTTTTGACTCTGTTTCAGCCTGCTTTGTTATACATTGTCCCAGCCGTCATTGGGTTCTTGGCTTCTCACTGCATTTGGAACGGTGACATAAAACCGGTTCGTTTTTTCTTCCTTTTTTACATTTCAGCTGTTTCAAACGCAAACTTTAGCATAATGCAAAGACAATCAAAACTTTAGTCAAATGCTTATGGTTTCTTTTTCTTTGCAGTTGATGGCGTTTGATGAATCATCGAAGAGTACTGAGGATGAATCGAAGAGTAGTGAGGGAGAGGTTAATAAAAGTCATGCAGAATGAAGAAAAGGTAGAGAAAAAGGGGCAGAGGAGAAATATTTATACACATGAATGTGTGTTTTATATGTATGGAAACAAAGTAAGGAAAACAATTCTTGTTTCCATTGTTCGTCAGTCCTCCCAAATGGTTCTCACCCTCTTTGTTCTATTTAGATTTTCAAACATCTTTTCACAAAGACTTATGTAAGTTATACAAGTTACAACAGGTTTTCGTTTTACTTCTGAAGAAACTAGGTTTTCTTTGACTTGTTTCTTTTTTCGTCCTATGTTAATTTTGTCGATAGGAGGCTGTTATATCTTGACTTTCATCACAATGGTACAATTCTTTTTTTCTATAAGGTTTTATGCCTGGAGAAGTGAATATGCATTTTCCATATCTCTAGTTTCAAAGTATATATATATATATATATTTTTTTTTTTGGCAGCAAAATAGAACTTCTATAAAATCATGCTGGTTCGATTAAGCTAGCTCCATGAGCTAACTTACTATGAACCAAATTGTTTACATCAGAAAGAGACTTGCCCACGTGATCGGGCTTCCTTGGCCAAGGAATAAAGGTGATATCAAGGTTTCGAGAACAAGACCGAAGAGCTGGTTTCGCTGGTGAGGAGGGGATCCAAACGTCTGTCCATACATTCGTCTCTGCTTCTGTGCCTATTGTACGTCGGATTCCATCATTTGGAACCTGTTTGGCCGCCATCAAGCTTGACCATCCATATGATGGATTGTAAGCTTTGCCGGTACGTAGAGGGCTGGAGTGACGCAGAGGCGGTCCTAGCATAATAGAGACTAGAAGCAAAACTAAAAAATTGTGGCTGGTGTACACATGATTCGAACTTGGAATGTCCACCTGATATTTTTTCCTCATTAATGAACCAAGACTAGGAGAATATTTGATAATTTTGTGGCTGATATTTTACTTATTTAGAAACGGCCGGAAGCATGGGCTTCATCCGCTTGGCCAAGGACCGGCTCTGAGTGCCGTTAATATCGTCATTTTAAAACCCCAGCTAGGAGAGAGTTTGGGTAAGCTAGTAGACGCCAAAGTTGCTTAGCTACTAAAATCTCTGAAGTCACGGAATCCTAGGCTGCCCTGTTCCAAGGGAACGCATTTTTTTCTCCCATGCAATCCAGTGAAACCCTCGATTATTAGCTGTTGTACTCCACCAGAAACGCGCTACTGCGGCAGATAGTTTTTTTGTTTTGCAGATTCCTTGAGGGATTAAGTAGAAGGAAATGACATACGTTGGAGTTGCTTGTGTGACTGATTTTATCTAGACTTCTTTTCCTCCTCGGGATAATAATCTTCCTGACCAGTTATTAATCCTCCAGTTCATTCTCTCTTGCACAAAAGAGAAGACCTGATTCCTCGATCCACAGATTTTTGCCGGTGTCCCTAGATACATTCCTATACCCCCTTCTCTTGAGACTACAAGTGATCTTTTCAGATCTTGTTTAATGGACGTTACGATTTTAGAATCGAACATAACTGAAGATTTTTTTATTCAGTTGTTGTTCTGAGGCTTTCCTGTAGAGGCCGATAATTTGCATAAACTCCTCACATTGAGGTTGGTTTGCTCTACAAAAGAACAAACTGTCGTCCGCGAATAAGAGATGGGGCATTACTGGGCTTTCTCTAGCTATTTTGATATCCGTTATTGTTTTTGTCGTCTTTGCATGCTTGATATATGAGATTAGAATTTCCGTGCATAGAACGAACAAGAAAGGTGGCAGTGCATCACCCTCACGCAGTCTGCGCGATGACACAATATTCCCCTTGCTTCACCATTGAGAAGCACTTGATAGGACACTGATGATATACATTTCATTATCCTGTTTACCCACTGCTGATCAAAACCAAATTTAAGTAAAAAAGTCTCTAAGAAGCTCCATTTCACTCTATCATACACCTTGCTCATATCGGTTTTTTATTGCAATATAGTTTCCTTTACAACATGCATTAATTATATGGCATGAAACATCTCCTGTGCCACCAAAGTATTTTCTCAAAAATCAGTTCCAGAAGAATACGTTTTAATCTCGACGCGAATATCTTCGAGATGATTTTATAGCATACATTACAAAGGCTAATTGGCCTGAACTCTGCCATGGCCGTCGGTCGTTCAAAGTATGATGATGTTGAGAAAATTAGTTTTTAAAACCTTTCACACATAATTTTATTTTACCACTCTATAAAATTTAACATTTTTAATAAAGTAATTGCATGCAATTAAAATATTATATTAAATGATAATATTACTTTACTATTTCTATTTCTATTTCTGATATTGTATATTTTCTTATTACTTATTTTAATATAACATATCCATTTATTATATTAAATATTTACTTTTTATTTTTTTTATATTGTTATATATACATATTTTTTTTTTCTTTTTTATATCAAATGATAATATTACCATAGATATTTAATGTAATATTTCTATTTCAGATATTATTAATTATTATTTATTTTTTTCTAAATTGTATATTTACTTATTATCTTTTTTTTTTTAAAAAATTTCATGTGGCTTATTTTGGAAGAAATATTTATGCTGATATATACATTCTATGGAACCTTAAAATGTATCTTTTACTAGTATAGATATACCATAAAGAAAGTTTTTTTTTTCCTCATGTAGGCACGGCTCTAATCATGGTCATGCAAAATATGGTTAATATAGGCAGGGCCGGCTCAAGTATATTTTGGGCCCTTATGAAAATATATATATTTAAAAAAAAAATTACTTATAAATTATGATTTTTTAAAAGAAATTTGGACCTTCATCCTTATTGTTTTTTAAATTTGGGGTCCAGTTGTAACATAAATTATGGAAAAGTATTTGGATCCCTGGGCCCCTGTCCCTTTGCCCCTATGGCTAAATCGGCCCTAAATATAAAAAAAAATATTATAATAAGACACGTGGTAGAAATCCCAATGCATTCCCTTAACCAAAACGGGCAAGAAGCTACTTAAAAATGATATTTTCATAATTTTTCCTTTTTTTTTTGATTTTTCATTTGAATTTTAACTATTTATTGTTTTTTTAATTTTATCGAAAGTAATCTCAAATATAATTTTTTTTGGGTGTATATACTATGAGATATGGCCAAAACCCGTAATTCCTCGGACAGTCAACCAAAATATATAATATTAGTTTTGTTTCAACAATCACTCAAACTGTATACTTCTGACGTAATTGTCAATTTTTTTTTGGTTTAAACTTCGACTATTTCATTCACTGATAACTTGGTACAAAGTTTTTGACCATACAAATTTTATCACAAATACAACAATGTGTCTTAGCAACACTCTGAAACACTCACTAAGTGATCTCTCACTTGGATCTAGTGCAACCTAGAATATATTATGGTATTTTTCACCACTGCGAGAACGAGTTCATCGTAAGATTCATAAATGGTCAAATCTTTTTTCAATTGAACTAATGATGTATAATTTAAATACAAGTTTCTTTTTATTGTACTTTTGTTTTGTAACTAGACTTTTCATACTCAACATTAAGCTCAAGTTGAAGATCCTACTTGTGATGTTTCAAATTAATTTCGCTGGAGTTAAAAGATCATAAATTAATTATATTGACATTTACTTTCCCTTAAATCACAAAATTTTTTGCTTAGTCTTTGTGCCCTCTTCTGTCACAAAACCCCAAGCTTGTGAAGCTTTACGATCTCTCTACGAAATTCATGCAATATTTTTATTTTTATGTTGGTTATTCAACAGAATTACAAACGTAGAAACTACAAATCATCTGTAAAAATCAGTTTTGGTGATATCCGAGATTTTTTAGGTGGGTTGTTGTGCTATTCTTTAGCTCATGCTTTCCGTCAACCATAATTTTCACTAAAAGTAAGCGGAGTGGTACACATGTCATGAGCCATTTAAAAGAGGCACATGTCTACATAAATACAGTCATGTCCAAAGAGTATTGTTTGCTTATAAATTTGATCACAAGTTGCTCTCTTCAATATGTTCTACCTAATGTTTGCTTTTGAAAAAATGTGTAATAAAATGAAGTTCTTCATTTATCTCATTGGTTTCTTTGTCCTTTTGAATGGAATCACGGCCAACAAGGAAGCAGATTCTATTATTCAAGATTCTTGCAAAAAAATTTCAATTGTATACGACTTCTGCGTAGCATCTATCAAAGAAAATCCAGAGAGTCAGAAAGTGAAAAATGTTGATGATTTGATCATAATAGCATTGAAAAACGCCATGTCCAACCTGACACACGTGAAAGGAACTGTAGAAAAGGTTCTGAAGGACAGAAAGTATAAGAGTAAGGCAATTGTGAAGCCATTGCACAATTGCATCAAATATTATTCCGAGGGCACTGACTTGTTAACAAAAGTTTTAGAGAATGCGAAGTTAAGGAACTACAAAAAAGTTTTGGGTAGTATTACTGATGCAAAAGATGTTCCGTCACTTTGCGAATCTGGATTCAAGGGGGAAAATGAGCTGAAATCTCCGGTGAAGAAAGGGAACCAAGTTCTCTCGGTTCTGATAAGCATTTGTGAAACTATTATTTATTCCTCTGCCCGTAAAAACTTGTCCACCATCGTATAGCGTATAGTGACAGCGTATAGCGTCTAGCTGAAACAGTCCCATAGGTTTTAAGTGTTGAATATTTCTTCTGGCGTTTTAGTGGGATAAATTAATGAAATATAAAATTTTTAGTGCACCGGTGACACTCTCATGTCCGAAGAATTTTGTTGTAAAAAGGCATGTGTGTGTATGACACTCTCATGTTGGGATAATTTTGTTTTAAGTTCATGTAATCTGCTGTATTCTTTCTCCTCTTCAATAGTTCAACGGCGAACAGACTGTCAGAATCTCTGATTCGAAAATATTGCTAGGGAAACATAGAACATGCATACAAATAAATTTTTGTTTGCTTATAAATTGGATCATAAGTGACCATACATATAATTCTTCAAACAAATTAAGTGGCAGATTCTCCGATTCACAAAAATGTGAGTATATTTCTAATTTAATTAAAAGGCCCACTAAACACTGAAGTTTTCTATAGGTTTCGTAGTGCATTCTGTAAGAGAATTCCGAGAGTCAGAAAGTGAGAAATATCGTTAAATTGACCGTGGTAGGTACAATAAACGCTATAGCAAACCTAACGAACATGGAAAGAACTGAAGAGAATATTATAAAAGAGAAAAATATATAAGAGTAGTCGTTGTAAGAAATTGTTAGAAGATTTTCTTAAGACTTACTCAGATGGCTATCACTCGCTAGTCAGCTTTGAATTACCTGAAAGCACCAAAACCAGATAGGGCTTCAAATGTTCTCAAAAAGGTAAGAGATGGACTTGTAATTGAACGGCGAAAATCAACAGATATCTACCCTGAGAAAAGAAAATGATGTCTTCGATGTAGTTATTGCCATTCGTTACTCGTTTAATAGCATAATTACTCATCCAAATGCATAAAAATTGTATTTGGCCTACATAACTAGTATAGTGGAGCTGTAGGGCGCTAGTAGCGCTTAATTAAGGATTGGGGTGTTAAGTGAGTTTTATCAATACAAAATTTATGAATATATATGATTAGTTCTCTTTAATAATTTTATTTCGTGTGTTAAGGATTTTTTTTTTTTTGTATCATGTAAGCATATCCAAACAAATTATGATAATTGATTACAAATTATAAATAATGAAAATTATGATATCGATTTTGTTCATTTCTGAAGTATAAATAACCACCCTTTTCTTTCCCTTAAGTACAATCTTTTAAATTATGATATCGCTTTTCATCATGTAAGTATATCCAAACAAATTATGATAATCGATTACAAATTATTAATAAATGAAAATCATGATATCGATTTTGGTCATTTATCAAGTATAAATAACCACCATTTTCTTTCCCTTAACTATAATCTTTTAAATGTCTGATGTGATTGGTTGGGTTGTAAGTGCTGACTTTAGCTTTATTTTTTATTTACAGCACTTAAATCACCAATCATGTTTTATCTTACTTTTTAAAGCTACAACCAAAAACTAAAAAAATTGCTGTAAAATCTTTTTTTTCTAAAGCTACATCTTTTTGGCTGTAGATAATTTTAAAGCTACATCTCTTACAGCTAAATCAAAAAACTCTACAAACTAATTTCTACAGTAAAATTTTTACAGCTACAGTTCAACCAATCATCCCAAATAATACTAATCACTAAAGAATGTGAACATAAAAATCATATATATATATTAGAATCTAATTCAGAAATAGTTACATTTTCCAACAAATAAATTTGTATACTCTAATTCAGCCGCCCGTTTATGCAATGTTTATTGGATGGATACTTTGGCATGATTCTTGTCGTCTGACGTTGGTTCTCATGATGACGTAGTGGGCCTGCTTGGTCGTCTGACTCGTCTATTTGTTAGGCTTGATGTGAGGTCGAAAGGCTTCAAAAAACAAGCATGAAAATATCTTTAAATTAATTATAGGCTTCAAATGAGTAAGACAGATAAAAAAATGCATATCAAATGGAAATACAAATTAAGTAGAACAAATGAGATCAACTACACTATACAGAAAAAATGCAGATCAAATGATTATGTACAAAAATGAATATATAACTAATCAAACTAATTTAATGAATCATTATGTTTGATTGAATGTGGTAAAATTATAAATACTGTAAGTTTAATATATAAAACAAATTAAGGTTAATTTCTGTAATAGTCAAATTTGAAGGTAAAATTAAGTATATAGTATTGATTTTGACATAACTAGTTTTCATAGCATTTGTTCATTCTTCGGTAAATAAATTATGATAAGGTATATGGAAAAATATAGTGGTCACAAAAAAACACAAATGTGACAAAAACAGAGAAAACTTTAACAACGATAACGCAATCTGTAAATGACGATCATATGATTACGGAAGAACCTGCTTTCGTGGTTATATAAGTAGTTGTGAGTTTTTTTGTAGCATAAGTAATTGTTATCATAGTGGTGTTGACTATGCCATGGTAGATGATGAGATGCAGGTACGAAAAAGAGATACTGTTTAGAAAAGAAGTTTAAATGGAATAGATCTGTAGAAATGGAATGGAGAATTATTAAAATAAAATAGTGAAAAATGAAATAGCATAGTACATATTATTTAAATTTTGAAATGTCTATGTTTACAGAGATTAGGGTAATGTTTACGCCAACGTCAACTCAAACTTTTCATAAGCTAAACCCATAATACTAATGACTAAACCCAAAAAGTAAATATAAACCCTAACATAAATATCAAAATAAGCACATATTACATAATATGAATCATTATTAAAATAGTATAGTAACAAACAAAATAACAAAGTTAAACTGGGAACTTATAGTACAAATGAGTGGTAGTGGTTACGGCGGAAGAGGTGGTGACAGATATCAAAGAGATGGTGGTGATCATCATATCATTAATTATTAGCATACTCACATGATTCATCTCAGTCTTTGTTTACTGGTTTGATCGTCATAATTTAAGAAGATAACTCAAGATCTTCTAACAATCAAATTTTTATTTTCAGATCTATTTATTGGCTTTTCGTAATGGTAATAAATACAGTGATGTTGGTTGAGCGATGAATATGATTATGTATGAAATGATGGTGATTACAATGAAATAGTGGTGGTTACATAAGAAAAAATGTTGATGAAGAAGTGGTGGTTTGTGAAACAGTTGTGGTCAATATGAAAAAGGTAACTGTAATTATGGAAGTAATTATGCTTGTGACTGATAAAAATATGAACATATTTGCTCTTTAAATTAATACTCGATAAATTAATAATCTCTATAAGTTAAAAAATTTCACCGGTCCCAATTTGGGCCGGTGTAAAATATGACACAAATCGATAAAATAATAAGATAATATTTTTAAATTGCCATATAAATATATAGTCCCATTAAAATCATAAATTAATAATCTATCTATATATAATTTTATATAAGTACAATCTAACATTATATTTTTGGTTTTATATTTACATAAAAATACTAAAATTTAAATAATGTACATATACTAATTTGTTTTTATTTTATAAATAAAAGTGTAAAAATAGCAAAAAAATCTAAATAAGGAAACTTTTGTAAATTCATATCTCTATAAATTAATAAAATTTCAAAGTTCCAACATTATTAATTTAGAGAGGTTTCACTTAAGTTCAAAATTTTAAGCTTATAAACTCTCACTAATAGATTATTTATTTTCAAGATTCTCCAGTGGCATACTATAGATTAGGCATTAAAGGAAAATAATGATGTATTCTTAAGCTTATCAAATCTTGATGGCTTGGTGATAAATCGTTTTTCAGTGATGTAGAGGTCAAGGATTAACAAAGACGCGGCTATCTCGACCAAATGAGGCAGGTTACAAGTCAACAACATCTTGAGCAGCATAACTGTTTTATGTGGCAGAGTAAGGAAAAATGGTGAGAACCTCGGAGAGTGAGGGAAATGGTGGAGGATTTGGAGTCGGCCGAGATGGATGAGACGAGCAAGAAGCGGATGAGAGGGGAAGGAGTATCGGCGGAGGTGAAGCAAATGGAGAGCAAGCATCGTGTGTAGGATGATCCGGTGAAGAGCGTGTGTGAGAAGAAGGAGTGGATGATGAGAGGAAAATTGGACACGAGTGGGAGGTGCTGGAGATGGAGAAGCAGAGAGTGAGGTGGATGAGTAGCATAGCAAGAAAGAGAAAGAAATTGGATAAGGCTAGGCTAAAGAACCAGCGACGGACGCTTGAGATGGAGAGATGGTTCTGATTATGAGGCATAGAGAGATTGAGTTGGGAAAACAAAAGCCGCTAGCTAGGTAAACAGGTTGAACGGAATTCTGCAATGCGGTGAGCTGATTAGTGTTAGGATACTCACATCGTCAATTTTATATGTAAAGTCAAAACGTATTTGCATGATTGATTAGTAAAGATTAAGCATATCTTGAAATATACTTTCTTGAGCTGGTGCAAAAAATTTCAACAAATAAAAATTTGTCAAAAGATAAATAATATAAATCTAATACTCCATAGTTAAATTTTAAAAATAAATATATAAAATTTACAAAAATGATGAAAAATGACGTTTTGGCATTCTTTTTTTTGTTCAGATATATTTGACGTTTTGATAATAACAATGCAAAATATGTGATAAACTGACTAACTTTACCCTTAGTGCTTTACGAGACATGAAAGTCATTAATAATGAAGGATGTAAAAGGTATTTTACTGAATGTCTTAATTTGTGTGAAACATCTTAAAACGTCAAATAAAAGAAAACAGCGGTAATATTTTCATTTTAAAATAGTTAATATAATGAAGTTTTTTGGATCACTAAATTCAAACTTAGAAGAATTAAAAATTTATGAAAAACCATGACGAAAAACAGCATATAACTAAAGATAGAAAATTTTAAAATCTATGTAAAAATAAATAAAAAATAATAATTAAATTTACTGAAAATCATAACATAACTAAAAAATATATAATATAACAAAATTTAAAAACTTTAAAAATATATACCCAAAACTCATAAGAATAAAAATTTAAAAGATTCTCTCAATAATTTAGTTTTCAC